GAGATTTGGTCTTATGCTGAGCATGTGCTACTGCTGGTGAATGGGTTAAGCTTTGTGTTGCTGTTCTTTTGCATAACCTAAAGTAAATAAGGAAAACCAGCTGTTAAATAGTTTAATTCGACTATTTATCCTCCACACAGTTATGTCAGAAACGCGAGATTTGGTCTTATGCTGAGCATGTGCTACTGCTGGTGAATGGGTTAAGCTTTGTGTTGCTGTTCTTTTGCATAATCTAAAGTAAATAAGGAAAACCAGCTGTTAAATAGTTTAATTCCACTATTTATCCTCCACACAACTAAAAGGGACCTCTCAATGCAGTGCCAAATCAGACAAACCGTTTCTAACTTAATATAGGCTTGAGCTGTAGATGGGCCGAGTTGCACAACAATCTCATCTGTCATTCAGACATTTCTATAAGCACGGGGCGGAGGTGGATGAAAGGAAATGTAAAATGTAGGCAGTGTGGTATAGGTCTTATCACTGGCTGATAATGGTCTCTATGTACTTGAATTAAATTTATGGTGCACAAATTTATGGTACATAAACTAGAGTACACAAAGTTTTAAGTCTCTCCATTTGTTAATGACAGTGGTAATGGTTCTTAATGCCACTGTTGACTGCTGTTCACGTTACATGGTTCAAATGTTATTCTGTTATAGTTTATTAAATATTTTATTACACTATTTGGTTCAGAATATATTTTCCCTCTTTTCCTCCTCTAAAAATTATGTGCGTCTTAAGGTCCGGTGCGTCTTATGGAGCAAAAAATACGATAATTGGAATACTTAGAAGAAAGTACATTAGTGCTGTCTGAAACAGCAAATACACTTATCTAGCAGAAGACCTTTTAATTATGCAGGGATGCAATGGACATTTTATACAATTAGTACCATAATGCTTACATTATTAAATGAAAAGATTGTATCTTCCATCTTAAAAACTAATAATATCCTGGCTATAGAGTAAGATCAGTCCTTACTCTCTCTAAAATTTAAACATGTAAAAGGTAACTTAAAAGCATTTTTATCTTCAGTGATGCATTGCATACATTTCATGGTAGAGCAAACATATTATCAAAGCAGAAGAACTTATCAAAGCAGAAAAAAGAATAAGTTAATGGTTCGTTTTGTAGCATTGCAAGGTAAAGTTGGCCTTAATTGTCCTTGGTTCAGCATGTGCACAGGCTTAAACATATTTCTCATTTTACTTCCAAAATGCAGTTACAGATATGGAAAGCCTGCCAAAGTGAACGATACATGGAAAATATTTGATAATAAATTATAAAGCACTTCCATTTAGGGGAGAAGATGTGCATTTCACTCCATTTGCCCTGCTCCTTTCTGCAGCTGACATGTGACTTCTGCTGTAAACAGCTCTTAGTTCTGCTTTAACAGCTCTTTAGCTGTTTCAGTATAGAGTAGGCTCCTATAGATGCAAGACTTTTTAATTCCTAGAGTTGACATTGTACCTATATATCCCACCACCACCACTCTTACACATTGGTTGTAGGGCTCTCATTGCTTACTTAATCTATTTTTGTATTCTGCTTTGCAATAAGAAATTGAATCAATTTCCCAGTTTGTACATACAGTAATGGAAAGCTGTTTTAGACAAACCACTACATTCAAATGTGAGACATAGGTGTAGGAGCATGTGGGTAAGATAATCATTCTGAGTTTAATAAACCCATGGCTTATTAAGCTGAACTGGCCCAGTAGCTCACTTCATATACAGTGGTACCCCGCATAGCGACATTAATCTGTTCCAGGAAAAACGTCACTATCCGGATTCCTCGCTATGCAGGGCAAAAAAACCCCCATACGAACGCATTAAAACACATTTAATGCGTTCCTGTGGGGGGTAAACTCACCACTAAGCGGGAATCCTCCATAGGGCCGCCATTTTCGCCGCCTCGGTAAGCGAGGAATCTGCGCCGGTGGCCATTTTGGAACCGTCGATCAGCTGTGCAAAAATGGGGCCTTTGGGAGGACCGCGGGGGAGGGCTCCCCTGCGGTCCTCCCAAAACCCCACGCCGGCATTTTTGCCCAGCTGACTGGCAGTCGCTTCGGAAGGAGCACGGGGGAGGGCTCCCCCGCGCTCCTTCCCAACCGGCATGCCGGCTTGAGCGCTTCGGAAGGGGCGTGGGGGAGGGGTCCCCCGCCCTCGCTTCGGAAGGAGCGCGGGGGAGCCCTCATGGGGCCTATGGGGAACAATCGCAAAGCGATTTTTCCCCATAGGTAACATCACAATGCAATCACTTTTGCAATCGCAAAATCCGCATCGCTATGTGGATTCGTCGTTAAACGGGGCGCCCGTTAAGCGAGGCACCACTGTATATGAAACTATGATTTGAGGTTCCAAATGGGCAACAGACAAATCATTGTTTTGAGCTGATCTTTTATTTTAGTTCCTCAGTACTCAAGCTTATATATTCACTCCTATTTTCTTAGTTCAGTGATTTATTAATTGCAAATAGGAATTGTCGAAGAAGACATCTCCAAATTGTGGCTAGCAAAACTGACACCTCTTTGTTATAGTATTTTTATTGAGCCTATGTACTGTGCATATAAAATGGGTTTTAAGGAATCCATGTATGCTGCATTATTTAATCAGGCTTCTTGGGATCGGTTTAATTTGCTACATACTTATACTATGGACAAGATTGTTGAATTAGTCCATCTCACTCCATGTATGCTTGATCCTTCTTGCCCATCTTTGCTGTTACGTTCTAGTAGGTGAATTAGTTGAGGCAGTCCTAGGAGTGGCAAATGCCTCTTTAAATTGGGTGGTAGTATCAGCCACTTTGAAAGACACAGTAGCATATCTTCTCCTGAAGACAACCTCCCAGGCCTCTGGTATAAGAGAGCTACTGTCTCATTGCAAATATCAGCCTTTGGGACAATAAAAACGTGGTGTCTTGGCAGATGGAGAGTGCTGATCTTTTGATCCTCTTGCCAATATTGTGCTGCTTTTGTGTGACTAGAGGTCCACGTGGAATCTGGTGCATAGTTGCTTAGGCCAGCATTGCGTAGTTCACTTTGTTTTACAGGGAAGGTGCAAGCACCATAATTCATGCACTGATAGCTTCCTAATTACACTACTCCAACGTCCTCTGCATGGGACTGCTCTTGAAGGTAATACAGAGGCCACAGCTGGTGTAGCAGAAGTACATTCCTGAAGCCATATGATAGCAGTTCTAAAGACATTGCTTTGGCTGCCAGTACATCTCAAGTCTGGATTGAAGGTACTGATGGAGTATTAAGCCCTGACAACCTGTGATTCAATACTTGAAGGAGCATCTTTCCTTACATATACCTAACTGAACACTTAGATCTGCTGTCTGTGTTCCCCCAGTGCCAGCTATACCTAATGCAGAAATGTGAGAAAGGGCCTTACTTGCAATGGTTCTTGATTGTGTAATGCCTTTACCTTGGAAGCCCAATTGGCACTGAAAATGCTTTCATTTTAACACCATTAAAATGTGTCTGTTCACCATAGTCTTAAGTGTTTAAAGGTTTTCTATTGTTCTGCACTGATAAGAGAATTTAGAAATCACACTGCAAGCCTTTTTAGTTCTATGGAATGAATTAATTCTTAGATTGTTCTCCAGCGAATATTTAAACAAGCTGTCTAATGATGGCGAGACATTTATACCAGTAACTTGGGATAATGGCATTTATTGCATATATCGAAAATGTTAAATTAGTGCTACATAATCCTAACTGTTGATTTCTGGATGTTAGGGAACAGCAGCAACCAACAATATATCTGCAACCCCAACATTTCTTTTCTTCCGGAACAAAGTACGAATCGACCATTATCAAGGCGCTGATGCTGTGGGATTAGAAGAGAAAATCAAACAGCACCTAGAAAATGACCCTGGAAATAATGAGGACACTGATATTCCAAAAGGATATGTATGTATATTTTATTTCAGAATTTATTTTTCTGCATTATGCTAGCAAAATGTGACAAACAATTTCTGTAAAGCTAGGTTGTAAAGAACCAGGATGGAATATCCAGGCATATCCAGAGAACTTTGGGTAGTATGGCCGGCATATAAATTAAATAAATAATAATAATTAAGTAAATAATATGGATTAGCTCCCACCTATGCTCTGAGCATTTCAAATCTCTCATTTCCAGTGGAGACCTCCCTGCACCCCAAAGAAGCTGATCCAGAAATGTAGAGTTGGATATGTGATATTTCTGGAAACATTGAAGCCAGAGGGGAAGGGAATAGGTTTTTCTCAGTAAAAAAAAAATGACACTTTGGGGGAAATTGATAAATATGCATTACAGTTTTTTCGCTCTATAAGACGCACTTCCCCCCCCCCAAAAAGTGGGGTGTGTGTGTGTGCGTCTTATGGAGTGAATACTGTAAAAGCGCTCCCCACAGCGCCCAGCAGGGGATGGAGGGGGAGCCTCCAAAGGGTCCAAGAGTGCCTTCCAGGACCCTTCTGAGGCTTGGTCACTGTAGCCAGAATTCTTTATGCTAAGAACTGGAAGAAATCGGAGATGCTGTACCAAAACAAGAGGAACTCATTGAGAAGATATGGGAAGTGGCAGAAATGGATATTCTATCAGAATCTCTAAATGGGAATCTCTCTCTCTCTCTCTCTCTCTCTCTCTCTCTCTCTCTCTCTCTCTCTCTCTCTCTCTCTCGAGTGAGAGGGAGGGAGAAGCAAAGATGCCGGACTCTTCTGTCCACAAAAGGTTTGTGATCTTGCACAGCATTTCTACTGCCAGAACATTGGAGGAGTTGCTAGCACATAATATAGTGATAGGCACCAACTTGGATGGCTTTAAAAGGGAATTATGCACAGTTATAGAGAATAAGGTTGTTAATCTGGATAGTTATACATTACTCCCAGTATCAGAGACAGTATGACTCTGCATATAGGGAGGAAGATTTTACTGCACCCATGTGTGTTGTAGGCTTCCCACTTGTATCATGCTGACTATTCTGGGAAAAGAATGGAATGCTGACTAAGGTAAAAGACAGACAAAAAGGCCATTAAGTATAGAATGCTTGATACTTCATGGGGATACGAAGGGAAATCTTATTTGTTTGCATTTTTCAACCTCTTTAATTAATGGTAGTTTTTAAGGCACTAAAGCCCCTCTTTCCACCATTCATAAGCCCTCAAAGGTTTCCCAAGTTAAAAGGGGTCCCAAGGGATCCTGGGAACTTGAGGGGTAGAAGAGGAAACTTTTAATGGGTAATAAAATCCCAGAGCTGACCATGTCATCAGTTTGTGATGGCATACACTTACACAATAGGATTTTGGCCATAATAGGATTTTTGTAGAGCATAGTGTGACCACTGCTTGGGAGGCTTCCCCCACCCACATCTCTGGGGTCAGCAGGCCAAAATTGCCAGAATATTTTTTTCCTATTTTCCTCCCCTAAAAATAAGGTGCATTTTATGGAGAGGTGTGTCTTATGGAGTGAAAAATACGGTACTTATTTCAGTATAAAACCTGACATATTGCTGCTTCAGCAACACATTTGCATATAAAATTGCACAATTTAGCATATTTATGAAATTTAAAAATAGAAGCACCTTTATATAGGCAATGCGAATGTACTTACATTTTTTAAAAAATGCAATATTATGAATATATCTTATTTTAAAGAGAGAAGTGCAAGCCACTCTACTGTAGGCATTACAACCCAAAACAACAAACCCACTGCCACCATTCCTATTCCTCTAGTTGTAGCTGAGTGAAATTCCTGTTGTCCCTTCTTCCAGAATATGCCAAGTGTTTGTAGTTTAACTATCCATCTGACAGATTATAAGAGTAATTTGGAATCAGAAATGAAAGAATGTTGAAACAGTTCCATATTCAACGTTGGGTTTGTACATAGGTTTATCCATATAGAAAAGCATATTTACCTGAAGATTTTGTTTTTTTAAAAAATGCTTCTCCTTTTGAGCTGCATCCAGCATCACACAAAATTACCACTCAGTCTCCTCTTCTTTGCTCATATTCCCTTCATATACCCCAGATCTGCAAATTCTCACCAATATGGAAAACATTACTGGAATACATAAGTATTATGCTGATAAAAGAATGGACTAGAACTTGCTTCTTAAGGTAGACATATTTTGTTTAAAGAGATGTTAATAAGGGGATGTCCCCTCACCCTAATGACTCAGCTCACCCCTGATCTGCTGCATGAATAGACCCACTTTAGAAATGCTTGAAGATCTCAAGTAACAATTAAGAAAGGGTTGGTACCTTTTAGAGCATATCCTATCAGTTATTTCATACATGTAACAAATTGTGTGCTTTGTCAAAGAAAAAAGAGTTTGGGATGTTTTCATAATAATCTCATAGGAAATAGAGAGAAGCAAATCTTGGACTCTCCCAATGGACAGTCATCAACTCAAAAAAGATGTTGATGGGGGCAGTATGGACAGAATTGATTGACAGTGAATTCTACTTACAGATCTGAACTCTGCCTCTTACTGAAGTATAGCAAGGAAAGAATCCATATTGGATTTTTAATACTATATGATGATGGTTCTGAATCTTCAGTACAGTACATGGAAACCTATTCAGTAATGTGTAATAAACCCTGATCACTTGGTTCTCAAGTTTTTAAAGCCTCTTTAACATTAAACATTTACACTGAACTAATGTAAAACCCCATCGGTTTTTTAAATCATTTCCCAAAGATCACATAGTGATGCTGAAGTTTATCTTTAAAAGTTCGCCATAGCCCAGAAGAAATGGGATACTGCCAACTTTAGCACCAGTGCAAATAAGACAATGATTAAAAAATGGAGGGGATCTTTGAGTGGGAGGAGTCCATAATGTATTCCAAATACCTTACCCATCAGTAAGAGACTGGATAATATATCTGCTCCAGGCTACTGAAACTAGTTCTGGATAAGGAGGGAATACAGCAGAAGTTCTGAGTACATTTTTGTCTTCATGGTTTACTAGAAATGCTCTTTTAAAAAAAATTAGCTGTATTTTCTGTTCTTGTCTTCTTAGCTTATGGCTCCTGTGTTTTGCAGATCAGAAACTTGTCTGACAGTTAGTGATATGCACATGTAAATAAGAACCTCAATGTGAGAAATCACACCTGGAACTATCATCTCCATGACAGTTTCTGAGCATATTTGCTATAACATTCCCCTTAAAAGGGGTCAGCTTTTCCTTTTTGCCCAAAATATATTAATACAGCTCCTAACAAAGTGCTGAATTTAGTATTTCAGCAAAGTGCTAGAGCTGCTAACAGTTCAGGAGCTTGATAGGCTGGCACTCTACCAGAGCCATATGTTTTTAATATTAGCAAATGCAATCCATTAGACTTTGCTGGGAAATGGCATTTGCAGAAACCTAGAATTATGTTAAATGCAAAACACATCTCTTCTGAGATTTTAAGTACTTTCAATTCACAGCTAAATAGATACAAATGCTGCAGTGCAAATACAAGGCCATTTACCTTCCCAAATGAATCTTTCTTATGTAAATAATCCTCATACATATAAGCCACTTGAATTTGCAGCCATTCAGATTTACAAATGTTTCCTATATCACTGAGTTCATTGCATCCAATGTGAATGTAAATAGTTATGCTAATAGTTAAACATAATGTGAAGTGCAGAAGCTTTGGCTTCAGAAGAGGCAACTAGTTTCCCCTTTTGACACAGTATTTGCTTGTAAAGCTTATAAAAACTGCCCTGAATAGCACAAATAGAGAATTCTAGGAGGCCTGCTTTTCAATTTGACTGATTTTCTCTCTCTGCACTTGTATATCTTTTTTGTATTCTGCATTTATACAGGACCAAAGTACTCAGGAAATTTACAACTTAAAGTAGCAACTGTCAGTTTTAAGAGAGACATTAGCAAAGGAAACCAAGGCAGGGAAGGAAGAAGGAAAACATGAATGTGAATATTTCACTTCTAGAGGAAGTATAGTAAAGTTGTTAGCTAAATGTAGGTACGTGGCAGGGAAAAGCAAATCATATTTTCTAATTGTAAAGTAAGCAGGAAGTATTTTCTGTGAGTCTATCCTTGCCCATCCTGATGCCTTTCAGATGTGTTTGGCTATACTGGCCACACTGGCTGTGGATGATAGGAATTCTGCTCCATATTTGGAGGGCACCATATTGGGGAAGATAGTGATCAAACCTATTTTGAGACATATAAATTAAGCCTCTTGGTTGTGTAAATAGAACCAGCATCTGCAACTAGTGATTGCTCCTCATTGTGTTTTTAGAGGTAGCTGTGCTAGTCTTTTTCAGCAACAGGGAAAACTGCTGCAGCACCTTTAATACTAACAAGTGGGAGCAGCCTAAAGAAAGTGAATTGTAATCCATGCAAGCTCACAGTGAAATCATTTTAATGTTAAGAGTGCCACAACATTTTTGTTTCTGCTGGAGGCTGTTGGCTATCTTGCTAAATGAGTAAACCGAAGAGATCTGGTTAACAATGAAAGAATGTGGTAAAATAGAGAATTAAAGTGTGTTTGTGTGTGTGTGTGTATGTTGGTGCTATTGTTTTGCAATAGTGCAAACAGTGCAGCTAACTAATAATCAGTATTGTCTTTCCTTCCAGATGGATTTGATGCCATTTGTTAATAAAGCTGGCTGTGAATGCCTCAATGAAAGTGATGAACATGGTTTTGATAACTGTTTACGTAAGGACCCTACCTATCTGGAATCAGACTGTGATGAGCAGGTATTTTCCTCTCCAGATAATATTTTATTTCTTCCTTTAAAAGACAATGGTGTTCCTTTGATTAGAATAGTGCTCTCATTTTTTGTATGTTTAAGTTGTATACTCTGGGGCACAAATTGACTATGATTACATAGGGAAGAATAGCATTTCACTCTTTATGCAATAATGCCATTTATGCATTTTAGATCCTTCACACAGATCTTTTTTCTCCCCACAGCTTCTCATTACAGTAGCTTTTAATCAGCCTGTCAAACTTTATTCTATGAAATTTCATGGGCCTGATAATGGTGAGTAAACTATTTCCTTGTTTGATAGAAGCCATTTGTGCATAGGAGATACTATTTTCCTGGGATTTTAATATGAAGCATAAACTGCAGTCCTTTTTTACACACACACACCCCACACCCATACCCATACCCATTTTAAAAATTGGACCTGGTCATTCAGCACCTTGCTGTGAAAATTTTAAGAAAATTATTGAAAATACACTACAAGCAACACAGAACGTCTCAAAAGAAACCTCTTTGACACCATGCAGTACCTGTAAAATTGTGCTTTTTACAGTTGTGTTCAAAATTATTCAACCCCCAGTGCTGTAAAGGGGTTTATGGACTATAGTGTACATTTGGAATTGTATTCAGAATGAAATTCTACAAGGACGTTTTAAAGAACCAAATGCAACTAAAATAACATCAATTGTTTATGTAATACAGTAGTAAATGTTTCTTTTGTGGTTTCTTCATTGCCACAATTATTCAACCCCTTAAAGACTACCACTCTGAAGAAGAGAGGTTCATTCAGGTGTTTTCGATCAGGTATTGAAAACACCTGTGGATGTCACGAGCACCAATCAAGCATAATAAGCACCAATTAGGCAGCTTTAAACCCACATTATATTTGGTCTTTGTGTTCTGATAATGAGGTAATTCTTAATAACTTGTAGCTTGTGTAGGAGCAATGTTAACTAGTACATATAGTTAAATCAAGCATGGACAGCCGCCACGGGGCTGAGATTAATTTTGCCTTCCACAGGCTGCATCATCAGAATTTAGTATCAGTTATGACCACCAAGTGAAGCAGCAAACGGGGGGGGGGGGGGTTTTCCCAGTTTCNATTGAGTTTTGACAACAAAGGGCTACCATCACTTTAAAAGAAACTCATTATGCTTATTTTAAGTGACCTTTACCAGTTCCCACTGAAAATCAGCAGCATGATTTTGGCTGTAAAAATTTCCTAGGTGGACCACATAGGGTACATTCCCAATTTAAATATACTCAGGTATTGCTCTGAAGTTTACAGTCTGAATATTTACACATACATTGGTATGCAATAGAAAGGTAAGTCGGCTCTGTATAAATTTATATAGACTCTCTTCCCAGATGAAAATTTGATTTGATGTTTTGGGTCAGTGGTGTGAAAATATGCCCCTCCAAGTAATTTTCAACACTGCTGTCATTTGCCCTAGCCAGTAGTGAGAGATTATGGGACTTGCAGTCCAACAACATCTGAAGAACCATATATTCTATGTGCCTGCCTTAGTTTCCTAGTGGTAATCTAAAGTTTTCAATGTTGCTTACATTCTCACAGCTGTTAACAAAGGCTGTATAGTTTAAGTCTCAGTCTTCATTAACTAACTACACCTGCAGAATGTCCCATCAGACTCTTAATACTTCGCATCTGTAGGGTGGCAGTCTATAAATGAGCTTTCAGCATAGCACCATATGAGCATTAAAATCATATTTGTGGTTTTTAAGATGATACAATGATATTTTTTGTAACAGGTCAAGGTCCAAAGTATGTTAAAATATTTATCAACCTCCCTCGATCAATGGATTTTGAAGAGGCAGAAAGAAGTGAACCCACACAAGCCCTGAAACTAACATCAGATGACATTAAAGAAGACAGTATTATCCAGCTCCGCTATGTAAAGTTTCAGAATGTTAACAGTGTAACTGTGAGTACAAAGCTTTCAAGCCTTTCCTAGTTAATGTTATCAGGGAACGTCTGACATTGCTGTGTCCAAAACATCTTAGACACAATCCAGCATAATTTGTTGCTTCTATCACTTGAGGAAATCTTTCAAGTTTTCTTAGAGCATGTCCAGACTTCATAGTTTGGGTGTGGTGTGGATTGGGTGGCAAAGGCCTTTTGAGGTTGGAGAGGAGTGATGTGCCATTTGGTGTGCTCTTCCCATCCAGACAGCAAATGGCCCTTTGTAATCCGGTCAGCTGTCATTTAAGTTCTTTCCTTCATCATGTGCAGAGGCTCAAGAGAAGTTAACTCTTTTTTTAAAAAAAATGCTCTTCTCTCACTCTATCGGTGCTGTTCCATGTTTTAGTCCCCTGCTTCTCTGTATTCCTTCCCTAATTCTCCACTCACTTTCTCTCTCATTGTCCCATGGAATCTGCAGCCATGGTTGGTAGTTGGAAGCTGAGATTGCTGGAGGCTGCTGTCTCCTTGCTAAACAATGAGCATGCCAAAAAGAATGTATGCCCTACTGCTGGGCCAGAAAAGTGTGCAGCAACTCTTAAAGGCAAAGGATGGGTTGATCTAAGTAGAAACACAGGCATCCACAGTCTTTTTCAAGTCAAACTACTATGAGCAATCTATGTACCATATCTATATGCCAGTTTGGACACCTTCTTACTTCCTGTTCTGAAGTAACCTGCAGTAAATCCTGTCACCAACACGTTAGTGGGAGAAAATATTTAATGAGCAAGAATGCAACTAAGCTAAACATTCCCAAAAGCTTGGGAGTAGATTTTTGGGGGTGGGGAAGTATGTTCTGTGAGTCTGAATGGTACCAGTATGATGTTCTCAATAAACTTTGAGGTTTTGAGGATGTTGTCTCCTTTGGAAGCTAAGAAAGAATTTTTTAAGAAAAAAATCTGAGTTATTGAACAAGTGCTCCTTTCAGGAAAGTATGAACATCTGGAATTGATTCATTTGGGGAAAAGGGTAAATTGTAACTGTTTAACCTTTGGTTTTGAAAACAGATGCTTGCTTTGCTGCTCTTAGGCTTGTCCTGGAAGTAGGGGCAATTTTCATTGCCTCAGGAAGAGGCTCACAAAGTGCTGGGTGTTAATGGGCAACATGATATACGTTGGTTTAAGAGGCAACCAGCTTTGAGTCCTGTCATTGCTTTCATAGGACTTCAGCATCTCCTGGCCACAAAGGCTAGTCACATGATCTGACTTACTTGAGCTTTTGTTCCCTCCCCCCATCTTTCAAATAATTCAGAGTTTCATGGGCTGTTGGCATCTCCATCTCATATTAATCAGGTGCTGCTTTTTGCCATTACAGTTATTTGTTCAGTCCAATCAAGGTGATGAGGAAACGACAAGAATTACATACTTCACATTTATTGGAACACCAGTCCAAGCAACAAACATGAATGATTTCAAACGGGTATGTACAAATCTGTCTTTTAAATCAGAAGCTGGATTGCAGTGTTCACTAGCTGCAGGTGGCAGTATTAGCAGGAAAAAAGTGTAATAGCTTACAAATTCTGATGCATGGACGTTTTGCAGGACAACTGAGAGTGCCTTTCGTTTTCTCAGATGAAAACTCAAGATTTGTCTTGGCTATTGCCTTTGTCTTATTCTAATCATCAAAGATAAATGGTTTCTTTTTTTAAAAAAACTTATAAAAACTAGTGTTCCAGAATTGTCTGTTTTGATCTTCAAAAGGCCAGCATGAATTAGAGGAATGGGCAGAAGAGAGCTGGAGGAAATAGCACCTAGCCTGCTTTTCTTTGGCACTGTAGACCGAAGTCATGTTCACATCCTACCCTCTCCAAAGATGGAGTCTTTAATACAAAACACAGCTACTTTTCTGTGTAATATTCTGTTTCCAAAACAGTGAACTATACCATGTTTGGGAACCGGTGGTTTGAGAACTATATAATCCAGTGTTGCAAATGTGCATGAAATTTGGTAGATTATATAGAAATGTTTGAGTGCAAGTGGACATAATACTTGATCACCTGTCTTTTGTGATCAAGGCTGAGTTTGGGTTTTGTGTGTTGAGGATTGTGTTTGTCCGTGAAACTTCCTTAATGTTCTCCATGGAAATTATTTCCCCCTTCATAAATATTCATCTGCTCATATTGGAATTTCAGATACTTGGGGAAAGTAGGTAAAAAAGGCTTGAAAATTATAACTTCAAGATACTGTGGGAGAGGTGACTGACCAATGTAGTGATCAGTTGTTGTAGAGGACAGGGATACTACAGTTTCATCATGCAGAACAAATTCTGGCAGGTACAGCTTTGTCATGCAGGGGAGAAACCAGCACTTTCTAATGTGGGTACTCCCTCGCCTTTTTGCCAATGTCATGGTGACACAGAGGTCTTAAGCTTCTGGGAAGCAGTAGTAGTATTTGGTGTTTTGAATATGTTTACTGAGCACTCACAGATGGCTTGTGGGGGAGGGGGGTATCTATTCACAAAGTGATTATCATGATTAGGGTGACCAGTCACAAAATGTCTGCTTTATGGAAGTCAAACTGGTGAGAGTCAAACAAAAGCATCTTCCTCCATAACTAAATACCTGACCGAAACAGAAAAGGAGTTCCAAACAGAAGCTTACACTCGTGGATGTATCTTTTTCTCTCCGTCTCTGGCACCTCTGTTATAGAAGGCAGACTCATGAGCCTCGGATACAAATAACGGCTGAAAAACCTGAGTACAAGGCACAAGCAAGATCTGTATCCCAGGTGGCAGATCACCTATTTTGGTCTCACAAAGCACAGCAAAATTGCCATTTAGCAGGCTGCAGACAGCAGAAAGAGCACTCGCATTTACTCATACATCCACAGCAAAAAAGAAAACAGGAAAATGCACATACTATGTCCAAACAAACATGAATAAGCATCCCATACCCACCACTATTATCCATAGCAAGAGTGAAACACTCCTTCACTTGCAAGCATTCCCTCTAACCTCCATGCACCTTCTTTATTCTTTTAGGATATGCCATACTGTCACCCATTCATATGTTTTTCTGGGCATGTTTCGAAACCAGACACTTGATGACAATTATTTATCAATATGTGGTCCATAAGCATTCCAAGAATGCTTATGGACCACACATAAGGGATTGATGGCTCACTATGCAGTATGGCAGCCTTCCAGTTCATTTAATTTATGTAATGAAAAAAAATTGAAATGATTAAGAGAATCTGTTGAAGATGTCAATGGGCACAGTATTCAACACAGCAGTTACCTGTTTTTGATCACTTAATATCTTTCTTCCCAATCAGTAGGCTGAATCAATAAATCTGAAAGTGTTTATATGAAAAAATATATAACATGTTTCTCTTTACACTCACTCACTTGTTCACACACACACACACCATAGGTTTTGCCATCTTTATATCAGTAGATTGAGCTGGGCAGAGCAACAGATTGAGTGATGTTCTTCCTTGGCTGTTAAATCCTGTTGTAAAACAGCACAGAAGACTTGGATTAGTTTGAAAATTAGTCAGACAAGGAGGAACAAATCCTAAACTAGTTATTTGCTACAATATTTTAATTTGGGTGTCTTTTACTTCACTAGCACAGTCTGACTTGTATTGAAAAGGAGGGGAGAAGAGAATATCTCTTATTTACAATGTAGCTCATCCTCTTATGCGGAAACCCTCTTCCTTTCCTAGCCTGGCTCATACTGGCACTGCTTGACATCAGCATCTATGTTATCTTCACTGGAGTGATTTTGACATGGCTTAGCCCTTGCCTCAGCAGTCATGGTGGCAGCTGTGTCTCTAAGGAAGAAGGGCTGATGCCATCACACACAAAAGGGCTAGAAGAGAATTCCACCTCTCGAAGCTCTGTTTAAGCTGCGAATGAGGGAGGAGGTTATGTAGTGCCATAATTTGAGAAGCTCACCAGAAATGGAAACTATAAAGGACGCCTTGGGTGCCAGACTAAAGTCCCAAGTTGTTTCCCTGTCCATGCTCTATAGATAGATAACACCAGTAGAATTGACCCCCCCCCACACACACACGGATTAGATGTAGAGTTCCAGAATAAAGTAGCTGGGTGACATAATATGTATGTAAAGAAAAAGCTTTTAATAGATTCTACACAGAATGATGCAGAGCTGAGTATGAGAGACCTTGGAAAACTGAACAATCTGTTTCATCATTGTAATCTGTAATATTGTATGGGCTTCAGAAGAATAAGAGCAGCTTTAAGCCCTCCTCTCCCACATATGCTTACCTCCTGTGGTGAATTCTGACTTCCTGCCACTTTTACAGACATCTGCTCTCTCACAATAACTTCACTTGCTAAGCTATACTATGATCCTAACTGCCCTCCTTTGTGTTGATTAAAATGCCAACTAAAATCCAAACTACACTATAACTTCTAAAAATATTATTTAAAGACACAGCTGGATTTTTTGCTGCTATATAAGTTAACAGAATACATTCTGAGTAAATCTTCCATTATCCTTTGTCTTAACAGTACTGATAGCATCTAAGCCACACCTTTGCAACCTCTGATCTCCAAGATTAAGTATAGCTCACCAGCTAGGTATCGAGGCCTTGCAAGTCCTGTTTTCACTAGGTGCCTTAAACTGCAAAGATAAACTGCCTTGTTGACTTGAGAAACCCTTATACAGTACCTGGCTGGTGGTGGATTAAAAGCCGTGCAGATGTAGTTTAAAATACTCCTTGTGGGGAGAAAAGTATACGGTTCTCTAAGAATTGTAAATATGGGTGGAGCCCACAGCCATTGAGGACTTTTTATTCTGTCTGACTGTCACGTTTGTTTTATCATTGATCACAGTCCGTAGTGCCCATTAAGAATATAACAGAAAAGATGGAATAGTAAGATTTTCCAGATAACTTTCTAGGAAGGCTGTTTTTAAGTAGCCGCCTAGGGTGGTCGAGTAGACCAGATAGCCGGGGTATAAATCAAATAAATAAATAAATAAACTTCCAACTTGGTTCGTTTATCTTCTTCCATTACCATTATATTAAATGGTGTTTTGAAATGCTTTACTTGCTGCACATCTTGTTCTGATGTTGCAGGCTTTACTCATGAGGCATGAGGGAGAACAGACAGCAATCTCCACCAGCACCACCCTTATGTCAGAATAAGACTTGATGAGAAAGGCTGCCTTCTGCACTCGTGGCCAGTTGATTTCAAATGCTCTGCTCGGTCCATTCTCAGGAGGGGCGCTAAAGTTCTGGCCATTCCCTTTGGGTTGGAAAGCATCTGGCATGATCATGCATGCGATCTGCAGCTTGTTTTTTTTTTGTTTGTTTGTTTTGTTTTTTTGGTGGCATGACAGTTTCATTCCATACTTATTTTCTTTGCTTCATTGTAATAATCTGTTTTATTATTTTTTCAGCATTTCCCTGGCCCAAAGAAATAAAAATGCAGAAGATTTTCGTTTTTTAAAAATGATCTTGCCTTACACCGCCCCTTTTCTCCCTGCTCCTTCTCTTCATTTAGCATCTGCCTTCTTTCCACATTTCTACTGCTTTTGGTACCATCACTTCCTGCTCTGCACCTTCTGGAACAGCTTTCCTGGGTCTCTTGTTTTTATAATGGACTGCCCATTTTTTTGATATACCGTACAGTACTTAAATTCTTTTCATGCCATTTCCTTTAAACATCACCTTCTGCTGTTAGATGCCTCATAGTTTTACCTGAAATTACATTCATACCAATGCAACTTCATATTTTCTACTTACACCCCAATGGTGAAAGATGAAGATGGAAGAGGAGCAGACCTATTCAACTGCAACCCTAAATTGGGTGACCTTATAGCTAAAGTTTCCTAACAGGGTTTCAAGCTTTCAGAGTTCTTCAGAACCATTTCATATAAGGGTCTTTTTAACTCCATGAGGCTGAACTGTACTCTTACAGATTACGTTACAGTCACTTTCAGAACATAGACAAAATCGACTTCTCCTGAGTCAGACCATTGAGTCTTCTAGCTCATTATTCCAACTGGTACAAGCTTCCTCAGCTATCAACCAATGGCAAGCAGTGCATGGTATTTATGCTGCGTGTGTGTATTTTGTCCCTTAAGTTCTGTTTGGAGGTACCTCCAAATGCCAGATGCAGGGGGAGGGGTATCAGGAGATAGGTATCTAGTTGTCTCGTGTGCTCCCAGAGGCGGCTGGTGGGGCCACTGTGATATAGGGAGCTGGACTAGATGGCCCCTTGGTCTGATCCAGCAGGGCTGTTCTTATGTGCTAGAGACAGATATTTGTATACAAATGCCCCTGTCCCAGCTGGCCCTAATGAGGGTCTTGCCCTCAGGACCTGATTGTCCACTCACATGGCATGGCAGTGACCCCACTCACCTTGCCAATGGCGTCCAGAACTCTGCTGTCTTCCTGCTCATCTGGACACTTAGCAGCCATGCAGAGAGACTTTTCCTCCTGCCCACTGCCCGGAGTGACCAGCTGAGCAGGAAGACAGCTGAGCTCCAGGTGCCATTGGTGGGACGAATGGGACCATTGCCACACTGGGACGTGTGAGTGAATGGTCCGGGCCTGGGGGCCGGACCCTTATAAGGGCCATCTGGGACAGGGATATTCGTATTCATATACAGTGGTGCCCCGCATAGCGAGGTTAATCCGTTCCGGTATGCGGATTCATCGTTAAACGGTGCGCTCATTATGCGAGGCACCACTGTATGAATACGAATATCTCCATCTCTATTCTGTGCTCTTCAGATCCTACGTCTCTGAAATATGGAAGCCCTACCTGGTTCTTGTTCACTCATGGTTTTTTTTAGACACAATGTTTGTTTCTGAAGATGTGGTAACTTGTAGTTTATTGGGGGGGGTGTTCTTTCACTAAATCATGTGAAGATGTTAGGAGGAATCCATTAAAAGTTGCGTGAATGAGATCTTGGCCAGAATTCTGTTTCCCTGCTTTGCAGCTGCAACAGTCCACTGCATGAGAGGTTCCACTTTTATGGAGCTTGCACAAGGAGATATCTAGTACTTCCTTGCACAGCATGAACCATGTTGGTTTCAACAGCGTAATCAGCTAGCTCCACTCATGCAACAGGATTCTGGCCCTAATCCTTGGAAGCTAGTAAACAAGGAGACAATGTTGTTACAGAACACTGTATCATAAAGACTACTGCCTTTTTAACGTTGCTTTCATAACGAGGAACAATGGTCTCCCTTTCTTATTGAAAAGACCCAATGACTGAGCGTCTCTTGAGTGCCACATTTCCTTTAGCCACTCTTTCTTCTTCACCTACCGATCTAGCCTCTCTGGTAGCATGAATATGTACCATTAAAGTATGGAATTTGACAAAAGCAGACAAGGTTGTTGGGCAAATGCTTCAATGCTGTCTGCTTCTTATAGTGGAACTTGTGTGTGAGCTAAAAGTCACAAAATCTCTGTCACACACACACACTCACTCACTCTGAATGAAATGTGTCCTTTACTGGAAGGCAAAGTCACCTTATTTTACAGTCTGTGTGAAATGCACAGTAAATAATCAAACTGTTTCTCAGAATAATGAAGTGTCTGGATTAACACGGATATTGTAAAATGTATTTTGCTTCTTGTTCTAATGGGTTATGAGTCATTGTTATAACAGAATACGTTAGGCATTTCTAGCTATGTTGACAAATGTAAATGCCAAAATATTTAATTTTTCAGGTAATACACATGGGCCACTTGAGCATTTCCCCCTCTGAATGGTATCAGTGTATTTTTTAAGGATGGTCGTACACATCCGCTAACATTATAATTGTTTGATTTGTGAGTGTAACTACTTAATTCAAACTGGAGCACCATGTTTTAAGTATAACTGAAAAATAAATACTTTTCTCACATTTTTGTCCAGTTTAGCTTTGCTTTTGTTAATAACATGCTTAAATCTTAACCTTTTACTGTAGTTTTCACTCTGTACTGTTTTGTGAGATTCTAATTCTACATTGCTATATTTGCTTTGAAAATTGATAGTTGCATGTCATTGCATAAGACTATTCTTATACTCCAGAAGTAAGGTAGCTTTGATTTTGATTTTTACAGTTAATGTGAAAACACTAATTAAATTGTGGATTTACCTACTATTGACTACAAGTTCATATACTTTATATATCTCCAAATGAATGATAATTGTAGATAAAATAAAAAGTTAATTGAATTTCATTCTGTAATTGTCCGAAGGCGTCAGTGTTATCCTGGCACAACTGATGTTTAACAGTATATTTAATGGGATCTGCAAAATTAATATTAGCAACCTACTTATTGGTTACTAGTCTACCTGTTAACAAAACGGAAGAAGACAGAATAGAGCTGGAGTAAGAGTTACTCTCTTCTTCAGCCTGGTCTTGGAAAGGAGTCAGTCTGCCCCAATCACACATAACACTAAATCACCATTCAGTGCTCTGCGGGAGGAGCAAAGCACCCAACTTGCACACTCCTCCTTTCTTGCTGTACAGCTAGAAGGATGTTTTTCTGAGTTTGTAAGCTGGGGATCACAACTAATTTTATTTGTTACTGTTTTTTACAAGCTGCAAACCCACTCTACCCACCTTAAATCTTTTAGATGCCCCTTCCTGTCAGTGCTGTAATGTCTGCATACAATCACTCTTTCCTTCCTGACTTTTGCAGGATTTTCAGATTGCTTCTGTTAGTCTGGTGCAGCTACACTTTCTGAAACCTTACACTTGTAACTTTGGAACTGGCAGTGCCATTGCAGAGTCTTCCTATTACAATCCACTATTCCTGTAAGAAGATTCTCTTTACACTACAACTTACTTCAGGACACTGAGTTGTTCTTTTTGCCTTGTAGTTATCTGGACATGTTCACATGACTGCACACAAGGTCCCTGTCTTTCCTTGTTTTAGTTACATTTTGTTATGTTAGTATATACAACTTGAACTGAGTAGTAGGCATTTGAACAAGACTGTCCTTTGTTGATGAATATAAAAAGTTATCTCATTTGATCCTTGGTCTGTTTCACTTTTAGACATGTTGGGGTTAAAAAAATCCTCTCCCTACTGTAACTAGAATGCATGATAGAATAAGAGGCCTCAATTGCTAGATAGCTTTATCCTTTGAGTGAGAATCCCTTATCTTTCTCCTGCCTTTTATTCCTCAAGCATTAACTCAGTGTTTCTCTTCCATTAGGTGGTAGGCAAGAAAGGAGAGAGCCACTAGAATGCAAGGAAAATACTGGAAGGCCTTATTGCAGTCAACATGGGATCCTCGCCCATCTCCAATTCCTGGGAAACTGCTTGATCATAACCAGAGAGACTGTCAGTCTGTTCCATTTTAATACCATTACAAATAAATCACTGCATTTTGTTAATACGGGATTTCACTGAAGTGTTTTCTGTTGTAATCTTGAAGCATAAATTTGTAAATAAAATCCATTAATTTTGCCAAGTTGCACAGTTGAAGATTTACTGTATCACTTTAGAAGTGAAAACTGGGATCATACCTTCTAATATAGATATATAAATATCTGTATATGTATATATAGTTTTAAAAATGTTTAAATATTCTTTGCTTTTTAGTCTGTTTTTAGAGATGAATCTTACTCAATTATAAGTGATAGAGGTATTTTTAAAAGGGAATGGTATTTCTGAAATTTCAGCTTACGCCTATAGGTTCTAGAGCAGGGGTCAGGGAACTTTTTTACTCTTTACCCCCCAAAAAATTTATATAAGCTTATATTACCCTCTTCATTTGAAAGGAAGGAAATGATACAGTATTTGAATTCAAAATCTTACTGAATCTATTCAAAATTATAGTTCATAGTTTTGAGTCAGTCTCTCACACACACACAGACACACACATCCCTCCCTCCATTTTCTCCATATATTTAAACAAGCTTGATGAAGCCACCCTTTCCCCCGCCTTAATTCAAGCCTTGCCTGTTCCTTTCTTCATGTCTCTCTCTTTCTCACACACACACATCCACCCTCTCTCCCTCCATACATTTTCTACATACATTTAAATAAGCTTGATGAAGCACCTTCCCTTGTTAACTGGATCCTTTTCCTCCTGCTTGCTTGCTTGCAGTCATTTCCAGAGGAAGCAGTAATTCAGAAGCCCTGACTTGATTGGTTGCCCGGGGCTTATCCACAGCTGTAACCAATCAAGCAGGCTTATATCTGATCTCTGAAAGAATGGAGGATTTGCAAGTGCCCTGCTGCAGCCAAGGAAGTAACAGGGAGAGGTGGCTGACAATTTGAGGTTTGGCTGCAGGGAGTGGGAGGGAGGGGGTAGCGCTCTGCTCATTACCCCCAGAATTTTCACTTTTACCCCATTTGGGTAATTTACCCCTGTTCCCCGACCACTGTTCTAGAGCCTTTTGTCAACAGCTCACTTTGCCAGAAGTTCCATTGACAAGAAATGCAGGGTGAAGGACTAAGCTGTGAAATGGCTTGTTGACATGTCTCACTGACACGGGTGCTTCTTGCCCACCTTTTGGATTTCACCAAAGGACTGCCAGTTGTTGGACTCGTTTACCGTTTTAAAGGTTAGGTGTGTTTCCTCGGGGTGAAACACAGGATTCCATGCACATTCATTGAAAAAGTGTGGGAGAATCTGGTTCTTGAACATTTTCTGCATAAAGACTATTGTTTTCCTGAAGCATCATCCTACGTCTTGAAGTATAGGCTTGTATATATTGTAAGTGGAATGTGAGAGTTGTGTGGCCTTGCAGTAGGTTTCTCCAAGGCTAACTTTGCTTAGCCGTGTTTTTGTATTCATGCCTAAGCCTGCTAATGGAGGAATGAAGTATTTCTGATAGTAACACATTTTGGAGTAACTTTGCTTTAACAATTTTGCGAAACTTTTGGTGGAATTAATTGTATCTCAGTGGGGTTTCTTATACTGTATAGAAATAGTCTAGGCAGATAGTTATCTTTTTTTAAAAAAGGATGAGTGGCTAGGCTTGATTGTTTTAAGCCTCTTCTGTAAATCTCCTTGGCACAGTGCCCCATGAAGAATTTTTAGAAATTACACATTGACCAGCAACATGTCCATATGAGGTTGCTTTCTAAGTCACAGTAAGTTTTAACAAAGAGGTTTTAATTGGAATAATTACTTTGTTGACTCAAATTGGTTGCTTTTCTAAGTACGATAAATCCCAAGAAGAATTTAAATCCTTGCCTAATTAGTATTCTGTTATTTTATTTTTTGTTAAATACTGAAGGCATTTTTGTTGTGCCTTGGCAGATTTAGGCATTAATACCAAACTTAATTCTTGTGCATAAAGAGTTGGACACAGTCCACTGTAAATGTTTCCTGAAGAAGCTGTTTTAGAAAATAGAAGAGAGTTTGCAGAGTTGCAGAAGGGAAAACAGTTGCTCTGTTGCTCAGCTCCAGTTCATTTCATCAACAGAAATATGCAACAAAATGCTGCAGTGTAGATTGAAAGAAACCAAGCACAAAAATTCAAGATACATAGCCATGTATAATCGGCTATATGTAACTGATGAGAGTTACAGAAAACACAGATGTATGTGTGCAACCCTCATGTTAGGATTCCAGCTAACCGTTCTCTTTTCCAAAATATTCCCTTCCCTCTTGGTAGGTTTCCATTATTTTTTTCCTAACAGTCCACACTCTTTGCCCCTCAAGGATGCTTAGGTTTCATTGAATTGGGTTTTTGGGGCAGGGGGTGGTGGAGTCTTCCTTTGATTTTTCTGTAAAGTTTCTTTTTCTGTGCATCTGCAAACCTTGATGTCCCTTTGACTTTTCTGCGGAAGTTGCTATTTTGATTAAGTAGTTCCACACCTGGCGAATGTGTTTACTGTTAGTATGTAGGATAGGAATATTAATCAGAAAGGAACTGAGGAAGTAGCCTTATACTACGATCATTAGTTCATTAGCCCAGGTATTGTCAGCATTGCCTGTGGCTCATGGGGTTTCTGGTTTGATTCTTTCCTGTAGATTGACCCTGGCCATGTTATCTACCACTGAGTTACAGACATGCTCTTACTGAGTCAAGCCTCTAACTCAGACCTGGGCAAAGTGCAGCCCACGGGCCACTCCAGTCCGGCCCGCCCATTGCCGCTCCTGTCCAGCCTGCCCGTCATCACTGAGTGAGCTGGAGCTCACTCAGCACGGCAGTAAGCAAAACTCGCGAGATCTGATGCTGGGGTCTCGAGAGTTTTGACTGTTACTCTTGAGCCGCAGGCTCCGCAGCCTGCAGCTCAAGAGGCCAGAAGCGATCCTTGCGCAGGCGACATGATGACGCATCACATCGCCTGCACGGGATAGAAGACAGAGAGGAAGGCCACAGGGGAAAAGAGGACAGGTGAGTTAGCTAAGTGTCGGGGTTTTTTCCCCCCATTCCCTCATGCAGTGAACGAATTACAGCGCTCACATAATTACCTAGGTCAGCTTTGTAGTTCGTTCACCGCAGGGCGTCACCCAATGGGGGCCTATTACTACCCACAAATTGGGGGCCTATTATTTATTCATGGTTCGGCCCCCGAACACAGTTCATATTTTTCATATGGCCCCCTATAGAAATTAATTGCCCACCCCTGCTCTAACTCAACCTAACTCTTCCCAACCTTCAGATCCCAGATATTTTTAGATTCCAGCTTTCAGAAATCCTGGCCAGCTCAGCTAGTGGGGGAGACTTCTGGGAGTTTTAGTCCAAGAACATCTGAGGACCCAGGGTTGGGAACCACTGCTCTATCTACTTGTGAAACTGCATCACAAATGCCATGAACAGAGAGCCTATGATGGGGGCAACTTTTAGCTCCCCAGATGATCGATTACTGTTCCCATCATCCCCACCCACCCATTGGCTACACTGACTTAGTCTTTCAGCAGCTAGAGTTCAACAACATATGGAAGGCTGAGGTTCTACATCTCCTGCTCTGTGGTAATGACCTAAGCGTGCACTGTAGGGAAGGCCATGCTGGATCACGCCAGAGGTCTGCCATATCTAACATTCATTGTCTAATTAACTAGTCAGATGTTGGGAGTTTACAAGCAAGATTGGAAGACCATTTCTTTTCTCCACTCTTCTACTTGTCTTTAGCATCTGTTAATAGATGGCAGTGCCTTAATAAATGGTGACTCCATAAGTCTCTCATAGCCAAGATAGTTTTTTTCTTTTGTTTTCCTTTTGAAAGCCAAGAAGCTGGTAGCCACGAGAACTCCACAACCAAGTTCAAGGAGAGAGTGAAACAAGTTCTTGCTTCCCTTCTCAATGTGATAATCTTATAAAGCTCATTGTGTGGTGGCCTGGTCAATTGTCTCAGTAGGATAGATACAATTCACACAATAGCATTAGGGACATTTCAAGATTCAGGTGCAGTTAATATCCCTCCTCAAATCAAAGGATTTGTGGCATTTTTGTGAAAAAAATACTTCCCACATTTGCTTTAATGGATCTTCACTAGATTGTGGTTGATTCATCAGTCTCTATGACATAGATTTGCAATGTTACAGAGGTAAGGGGAAGTTTTGATTTCATTCTGAACATGAATATAGGCGGTGGGATTTAAAAAGGGAATCTTAATGTACGTTAGTGACACTTTATATAATGTAATTAAGGCAATTCAAAAGACTTCCATATTTTAATTATTATTTTACACGTATAACTTCCCTTCAGGGTTATTGTTGAAGTGCCTCATTCTAAGTATTGCTGACCTCATATTTATATCTTCGACAGATGTTATAACCTGGTAATGTTCCTTCTATAAGAAATGTGTAGGGCTTCCATATTGTCTGAGTACTCCTGCAACTTTCACCACCTGTTGGGTTCCTATGACTGTTAACCATGCTAAACCTACAAGAGCTGCTGTAATAATTCAGTTGATTAAATATGTCAAATGCATGAAATATACATAAATGAAATTCAGGAAAGAGGTGATGCTAACATTGTAACATGCATCCTGGAATAACAAGGCAGGTACAGTAAAATAATTGGTGGTAAAAATAAATCTTGGAAGAGGTTATTACCTTTAAGAGGAATGATGCCATGGTCTTAAAGCTACTTTAACCGCTTCTGGGTATGCTGAACCTAGATTAAGATCCCAAACAATGAACATACAGTTCTGTGCACAGTTCCGTGGTTTGAAGGCATGCTCGCTTGCTTGATTTTGGTGCAGCTTTTTTGTTGAATATTTCTTGGGCGCATTCAACCCATTTATATTAAAATCAGAACACCTGAAAGCGGAAAACAAAAAAGGGGGGAGAAAATACAGTGCATCAAGCTCAGCTTACACAACCTGGCTCCAATATACATTACAATGAAGAATAAATTAGCCCCATAACTAATAATGTAAGGAATTTTGCATAACAGTATCTTAGTCATCTTTCAGGTAAGCTCTTGTGAATGGGGTTTTTTTTAAGTCTGGTGTTTCAAGCATGCATAGAAGGTGTGGATTTTTTTTAAGTCTGGTGTAGCTCCT